ATAAAGGGACAGTCACTAATGTACTGACCAATTTATTTATGTTTTATTATAGCAGTTTCAGTCCTCTATACTTGTGTGGTATGCTGTATTTTAACTTTATATTTGAACTAAACTACAGTTTACTAATACGGTAAGACTGTTTTCTTAACTGCTTGTTCCATTATTGTGAACAGTCTTTGAACCTTCAGGAAACAAGAATCAAAAGTGCCATCAACAACCAGAAAAAAACAATATAATATAAATATTAAAGAGGGATTCCATATCTTTTAATAGAAATGTAGAGACAAATCCAAAAGCTTCCTGCTCTGTGACCACTATGTAGCCACCAATTACACACAGATAAATAAACCTGATATAACCATGTCAGTGCCTTGAATGTACTGCAAAGAGACTGTAGGACCGGTAAGAGCTGAGTTAGCAAAGTTAAGAATACAAACTCTTGGGGTACATGTATACACACAGTGGGTTCATGTGCACCTCTATCCCAAAAAGTCTCTTACTTTTGGACCGCTCTGAGGAAATATGTTTCACAAGCATGTCCCCGACCATCATTTTGTTTTTTTAAAAGGAATGCAAACTCAGGCAGGTGTTCGAAAAAACTGCAGGGGCATTCAGATGTTGTCAGCTGCAGAAATGTATCTGAATAGAAAGTTTTTGATCTCCGAGATGTGCATGGTCTCTTTGATGGTTGTGTCTCTGCTGCGGACCTGAAGAAGGCCACTTTCCAATGTGTTCTCACCGATGATGATGGTGAAAAGAACGCCCATCTCATCGTATCTGCATTACATCCACACAGAAACACACAGACACGAGTTTAAAGAAAAGTAACATAATTCAATTTGCATTATGTGCTGATTTAATGGCATTTACTTGGCATTCAGCTGCTCCATTGATGTTGGCAGAGTTTCAAGATATCCAGGCCACACAGAAATCTTTGCTTCCAGGAACTCCTGCAGAAGGCCTTCACAAATCTGAAGAAATATATTTAAAACACCTTTAATGCAATTTGATGCAAGTCCACAGAAGGAACACATTCAATCAGATCATTTTAAGGTGAAAAATGTGTATTTGCACAGAAAAACTCCACAAAGAAAAAGCATGCAACATGTACTTCATGTTATCATTACCTGCCTCAGCTCCACAGTGGCTCCTCTACCAATATTTAAAGCCACTTTAATGGGAACCAACACTGGATGCAGCTTCAGGACCTGAAATCAACAGTGCAACAAATCTCATAAATAAAAGTCACGCCACAAATAGGAAACCCGCTGACAGTTTTTCTGCACGTGCAGCGAGCTGTTAAGCACAATCACCTTTCTCTGGTGCAGCTTTTGCTTGCTCTCTTCTCTCTTCAGCTGCTGGAGTGAGTTGGACAGAAACGCCATCGCACCACGGTCCATGTTTGCGGTAACGGAGACGACATGAGGAATAGACCTTCGTCCATCTCGATGCTGAAAGAGGTCAGGTAAGAGAGATGACACTGCGTGTGATTAAACTGAAGAAAAGCAGCAACAGACGAGCAGCTGCCCGTGTTTCTTATGAGACCTGGTGGTTCTTCTTCCTAAAGCCGTTTAGTTCAACTGAGATTTCTGAAAGCCTCTATTCCCTTAGCTGGGAGCTAAGGGAATTTTTGATATCAATTTGACTTCCTGTTTTAAGACATGCGCCTCGTCAGAGAACCAGAGCCTCTGCAATAGCAGCTTAGGAACATGACAGATACTCGATCCTGACTTAAAGCACACTCTAAAAGAAGCAGACGGACCTGCAGTTTGGACCGGTCTCCTTTGTGTATGTGCAGCAGCTCGGCATCTCCTCGACTCCAAACACAAGCCAGGACCTCCTGACCCCACGGGAAGTTGTAGATGATCCTCACACCGCGAGATGCCGCCTGTTCGAGCTCCTCCTGCTGGACTTCATTGCTGCTGAAGTCGGACGGGGAGAGGGCAAACTGGATAAAGAGGACGAAACAAAGAGAAAAGCTGAGTTATTAATGTTTGTAGTTTATAAGGCTGGGAAAGTGTTCTTACAGGAAAATATACATTTATGCACTGGTGCATCACACGTTTTAAATTTGTCGGAGATGTTTCACTCCTCAAAGACTCACTTTTCTCCACCACTTCAGCCTCTGTCGTGTCCAGTGGTCCAGCCACTGGGACGATGTGCGAGGAGAGCAAAACCACACTAGAGATGTTTGCGTGACCTCAGCTGAGCTGACAGAAAACAGAACATACAGTGTGTTAATATGACATACTTACCTCATAAGGTCTGAAAAAGGTTAATGTGAACTCATGAAATACTGTATTAAAATTAAAAGGCTAGCTCAGATAAACAATATAAAGAAACAAAATCCCAGTGAAGTCTGTTTGAATTTTTACTTTTCATAAGTGTATCCACACAGACACTCACACAGGTAAGAAACAACAGACGAAGCCTCACCAACCAGAGCCTTCTGCAGGCTGGAAGCACAGACCCGTCTCAGCCAGACCAAACGGCAGCTTCCTGTTCACCAGCTCTAACGAGGGGACAAACTGCTCCAAGGCACCTGGAAACAAAACACAACACGCGTGAACCATCAAGACTAATTTGAAAAAAATAATTATTCTTTTTTAGTTTTACAACAATGTAAAAGACAGAGACATGTTAAACAGAAATGTTACTAGCTGAATTTCTGAAGCTGATGAGCACTTTCACACAACACTGAAGTCCTGACAGTATCCTTAACATGGTATTTCAGCTCTTGCCATCATCTTTCTTACTTACTGAGTGTACTACAGTGTGAAAATAATATTCCAAGAACAGCTCTTGTTTCCATTCACCTTACTCAAACAAAAGTACCACAGTGTTGGCATCAAACTGCACTTACAAGTATCAAAATTATTCATAAACCATTAAAAGAAATACATGGAAGATCATAAATGCAATAACGTGAAACAGTTGGTATACACGGTGACTTTGCTTGTAGTTTATAAATCATCTGTGGTGCCATTACTTTACTGTGCATGTTTAATGCTAGCTCTCAGTATAGAAATAAAAACGTGTATGTTATGCTGTGTGAGGCAACTTACCTTGCAGTAAGTTTGTTCTCATACTTGGGGACCTCTGCAGGAGCATGTGCACCTCCTCAGCGAGCCGCCCCTTGCTTAGCTCCTTCTGCCCAAGTCTCTGTTTCAGCTGTTCACATTCAACAATCCTCAGCTGGCCCTGTCCACCTGTAGGTGTTTCCCTGCTGCTGCTGCTCAGGGTGTTAATCCCAAAAACCTGAGCTCCGGACCTAGTCACTGAATACCACCACTGGTCCAGCAGGTTTCTCCTGAGCTCCATGCCCAGAGGTCCATAGCTGCAGCACAGCCCGCGCTGAAACAGCTCCACGTTAGCGTGACCAGGAGAAACGAAGAACCTGTCCACGCAGAGCTGCAATAACGTAGTGACCTGGTCCACAGTCTCAGTCTGGGATGTGCTGCAGCGTCTCCAGCTGTGCCGCTTCAGCGTCACAGTGAATGCACTTCTAGACAGGATGTTTCTTACACACATCACAAACATGATGAAGAACCCGCTTCAGAAAAGTTTCATTAGCAAACAACAAGCTTTGAATCCTGTAGATTTAAAATATTTGCTAAGTGTACGGTCCTAAGTGGCCGCATACCGCAGTGAAAAGATGAGTGCATACGGTGGTTTGAATAGTATATGTGAACTGGGCTCACTGTGTTAAACTCCCAATGAAAGCTAACTTTAGCGAACCTTGCTAAAAGCAGCGTCTACAAATACAGACGGCTGTCGGTGCATTTAAGAGTC